CCACCAAGCTGCCACATGTGTTTCTACTCGGCGTCTGCATAATGTGCTGCAAGCTGCTATAGGCTCTAGAACTTTAGGGCTTCGGGCCTTTAGGGACTCGTGGGTGCCCAGCCTTAGTTTATCCGGCGCAGGCAAGGACGGGTTGTTGCTGGGACGACCCAAGAGCTGCGAGTTCAGGTCCGTCGGGTTCACCTCCAGGTACCTGCACAGGCGGCGCGACGCTTGAAAACTCCTGCCCAAGCCGCGCTCGAAGTCTCATGGTAACTTCCTGAAGCCTCAAAGTATCGTGCCCGACGATTTGATACAAAACATCGTACCGAAGCCCAACAGCGGAATCCACCGGGGGCACCTGAACTTCAAAACATGGTCCTCGCACCACTCCAAGGCTTCGTCGATGGACTGGAAGATGCAAACCGGAAGGCCTAGCAGCTCTTTTCCCCCCCCGCAACCCGAGTAGCGTGGCTTCCTGACCATGGACCCCACTGGTTGCTGCTGGCCACAGAGATGCGTGGGTCCCCTCCTTGACCCCTGCATGCAACAGGCACCGCCTGCACTTCGGAGTTGCGTCTCCAGCTGCAGGGGCAGCCCTGAGCAGGAACGGATCCTAACTTCAACAGGCCGAACCCCTGGATGGACCTTCTGCAGCTGGGATGTGACCAGACTTGGAATTTCAGAATCCCAAACAGAAAAACAAACCCCAATGTCAGTGATCCAGAAAAACAAATAGCCCACAACCCTAAACTATATCCCAACTCCCAAAACCGCAAACTAAACCCCCAAAATTCTGAAGCGGCATCAAAACTCCCAAAATTCCAGCGCCCCTTGGGCGGTCAGGGAGCCCACTGCGACGGTCTGGACGTGTGGCGGCAGCTTCCGGAAGCCCGCCAAAGCGGAGGAGTCGATGGAGCCTCAAGCAAGGCTTAATATAAGGGCCTAAATAGTTACCAATACTAGGTCCTTATTCTAGAGTCATAGCATATATCATATACCCCAAAGCCCGATTCTATATCCCAGTGATGCTAATCAGATCCTCGATATTAATCGTTATCTGCAGACCATCCTTGCGAAGGCCGATGCCTCTAAAGTTGCTGGTTTGGATGGACTTGAGATTGCCCATCTTAAGCAAATCAGCTGTCTTTTTCCTGGCTCACATTTTTCATAGATCGACATTGTGTGCCTAAGGCGTGGCTGAACTGCAAAATGACTTGCATTCCCCAAAAACAAGGCAAAACTTCTGTTAAAGGCCTGCGACCTTTGACGATCACTCCTGTTTGCTACAGGATTTGTGTAAAACTATTTGGCTTATGCACTGCGACGTACAACAAAATATTTCTGAGCATTCAGTGGGAGGCGTTTGCGGGCGATCTGCCTTTCATACCTGGTGCCCCGGCAGCGTTGATGTGTGAGTCGACCTGGCGGCTTAAACCCACGTTTAGATCCACGATGCAAGGTGTTGCTATTGACACCGAAAAGTTCTTTGATAATGTTCCTCCGGACAAAGCGTGTGAGAGCTTACTTCAAGTTGGCATTCCCGCTCCTGTCGCAGCAACTTGGCATTTTATGATCACTAACATTCAAAAACTCGCCTCCTTAAATGGTTCTGTTTCGAAGAACGGATTCAGAACCTCTATGGGTATTCCGCAGGGGGATCTTCTGGGTATGTTGCCCGCGGCTACTATGCTGGGTGATTGGACTGATGAAATTTCCCATGATCATATCTTTGCAAAGGTCTTTTTATGCCAAGCAACAACAACCAGCAATTGCAACAAGCCTTTCACACCACTCAAGTTTGGGATGGTGCATTCGGTTTTAAGACTGAAGCAAAAACAGTTGCTTTTGGAAATAATGCGGAAACTGACAACTTGTGGTGGTTGGACGCCTATGAAGTTAAAAGACAAAAGCAAATTGTTTATCTAGGTGTGCCGCTACCACTCAAAAACATCTCGGCATGCCTGTTCTGCATAATTGCTATGCTCTTCTGAACAAAGTTGTTAGATCGCACATTACACATGACACCGCTGTCACAATTGTTGCGCGGAAAATTGTGCCGGCCCTCTGTTACTCTTGTGCAGTGGTTCGGCCTACTAAAGCACAAATTGACTTGCGATCCAAAATCTTCGAGGCTACGGCTTTCCGTAAGTGTCAAACACAAGCCGCACATATTGTGCTCTGCGAAGGAACACATTTGTTTGATCCCGAAAGTGCAATGGTCGACCACAATATGCGTTTCTGGAAACAAGTGTTCATTCAAGCTCCTTTGATGGCACAGCAGCTCAAAGATATGCTTGAGCAATCAATCCCGTCTACACATGAACTTTTTGGGCCTATGACCATCTTTCAAAGAGATATGGATTGGCTCAGCTGTCGCTTTTTCGCCTGATGTTGATGCCATCAGCAACAATGCGAACGAAGGCATTCTGCTCACTGAACCAGACAAAAAGAAGCTTGAGCACTTCATTCGTGAGCAAATCCGGAGGCATTTCTTTCAACCGCTTGAGCTAAAGCATCCAAAGTGGAAAGGGGTTGTTGATGCGGATTTATATGCTACTACAAAGCTTCTTCGAAGTCTCGAACCGTCCTCGCCTTTTAGGAACCCCTTAGTTCGGATGTTGTCCGATGCACAAGCCACTCCTTATAGGCTGTATCAAATTGGCATCAAAGCCACGCCACATTGTCAATATTGCCTCCATGAAGAAGGTACTATCAAACACATCATGTGGGAATGTCCGCGGTTCGAAGGACTTCGAAGATCTTGGCCTCAGGAGCCTCATGATCGCCAACAGTGGCCTGAGTGTGCCAATCGGCTTTGACTTCTTCTGCTCTACTCCCTGAGTCGATACGCAGCAAATGTCGGGCAACTTTTGTATCAATGGATGGAAATGTGGCAACAATCGACAGGAAGACGTCTATCCTAACCCCGGTCGAAGCAGGTCTACAGCTGCCATGCGCGCAATGTAATAAAGGCGCGGACCCGTAAAAATATTGCGGGCTATACTGTAGCCATGCTTTTATATTGAAACTGATTCAAGAGTTTTTTCACACAATGTAGTAGACAAGGCCGAAATTGGCATGTGAGACAAGAGACGTAAGCTGGACAAGTCCAGCAAGAGGAAGCGCCCCTCTTTCAGCCAAGGGCCGACCTCACTGAGTTCGCAATGCCGAATCGTTGCAAAGGCGCTTTGGGATCCTCGTCTGCTGAAACCCCAAAGACCTCAACAAAGACTTGCCAGCCACTATTTGCCACTTCTCAAGGAGCCTCCCCGAGAATGGCTGCGATGGAGCCGAAGAAGAGCTGGCTGCAGAAGGTGCGAGCTACCACGATGCCTGGAAACCGACGGATGCTGGTGGGCTCTTCTGCAAGCGCAGGCCCCAACAAGGATATGCTCTTGTAACAAGATGCTTGGACTTAGGCACTCGGGGGCCTTTCTGGGAATTAACAAAGCCTATGCGTGGTGCAGAGCTCAACCTGTTGATTCCAAAAGCTCGCGCCTGGAGAGGTCTTCAAATACCTCAGCCGTTGCGAAGGTGCGCTTTCTCTGGCTGAAAAGTAAAGTGGATCTCAGACGTTCGCTTGGGAATGTCAGAAGATGAGCCAGCCGAGGTGCAAGCGGTCGTCGACAGGGCGATAGCGGTTTGAAAACATGGCAGCCTCGCCTGCAGAAGAGGGCCGCCAGGTGTGACGCTCACATTCAGAAACACCATGTCACTGCATGGACTTCGACGTGCGTGTGCTACACCTTCAGCTGGCAGCACGCAGAGATAGAAGCTATGCGGATGCTTTCAAAATCTATCCAGCTGTGCCTGAACCTCAGCCGGCTTCCAAATTCATCACTAGTCCAGACTTCAAGCACGCTCTCCCTTGCTTTGTCCATCCTGTCCACACTATAAGGTTTACATATCATGACTCTAAGGCCTGCCGTGGTGACAAACTCCAACGGGCCGCTCTGGGAGTAGCGCAGCATGAAGTTGAAACCTTCGTGACGACGTGTTAGGAGAGGCCATAAAGATGGGCTCTTCCGGGGTATGGGCCGCTTGTATTTCAGAAGGGCTTCAACAGAGTGGGGCTTAGCAGGCATTGGGGCCGGAGAGCTGCAGAGGGCCAAACCCACCAGAATGGCAGGCACCAGGTCTGTAGCCAGGTAGTAGAGCACCATGGCCTTCAGCTGTCGCTTCCAGAAGCAAAGCCGGAAACGCCGGCCCAGCAGGAAAGAGAGAGGACTTCGGGCTCCAGCACCCCGTGCTTACCCTCAGGGCGCGCTCTGCATGTTCTTCGTGATTCGTGCTTGACTGTTGTTCCCACAGAGGTCGTTGAGTAGATAGAAGCGACTATGAAAGTGGCGGTCGCAACCCGGCCTATGAGCACGACAAATACTTGCGGATGTCTGCAAACATCGTGTGCCAAGGAGAAACGAGCATAAAGCAGAAGATGAGATCTTGGACGTCAGATTGCGAGGAGGGTGTTTAAGGATTCTTGCATGCTCTATCTGCCTGGGGGTTGGCCATGTCACTTATGCTCTATCTACTTGACGTGGGGTCATGTAGATCTTGAGATCATGCCCTTTCCCTTAACCTTCGGCTGTTGTCTCCGTGGGTTCTCGTTGTTGTTTCGCTTCGTCGAGCAATTCATTACGAACGCCGGCTACGTAAATGATTCTATCCTTTGCTCCCAGTATTAATGTTCCCTTGTGGTCAACATTGTCCCGACAATTGTTAAGCCTGGGCAACTAAAGAACAAGACAAAGCTCAAATGAATCACCAGTGAAGAGAATTAATTAACAAGCTTGAACTAACATGTGACGCCACCTTCGATTACTGCACATGCGATCAACTCAACACCTGGCCCTGTCAGGGCCGTTCCTCCCTGCACTAGGCACATGGCCAGGATGATAGCGTAGTCCCCGAGAGACAACCTGGCCAAGCACCAGGCCGCTGCGGAGAAGTACTCCAGTAGCAGCAGTAGCAGCTATTACTCATTATTACTCCGGTTGCAGATGAGCTGCAGCGCCCTCGGTTCCCACAGACCATCCAGTATATAGCCAAAGGCCAGGTGGCAAAGCATGCCTGGCGCCGGGAGTGTGGGCGGTCGTTCGCCGCTGAAAGCCATCTCCGAAGTATTCCAGTGGGGATGGGGGGATGCGCAGGGGCCTCCAACCACGAACTTTGGCACTGCGGCAGTGAGCGCTGGCCCGAGCCAGATCCTCACCAGAGCAACAAGCTTTCCAAACGCCAGCTTACTTCCAAGGACTCGACCTTGGCGTGTTGACAGAATCTCCTTTGCGGTCGAGCCTCCAAAGTACGCAAAGTGCAGCGGAAATGAGCCCGGTTTCACGTCCGGTACCACCGGCATCCACATTCCTTGGCTTTCGAAGCCAAAATGGTGGAAGGAGAGCCTGGAGAGAGGGCAAAGTGGAGACTTAGAGCAACTCAAATTGTTCAAGTGGGACAACAATAGCTCAGTAGCTTCCCAGCGACACATGCGCAAGGCCAAGGTAGAAACGTAAACAAGCAGAGCTCAACACGCTTTCGAAATCTCTTGCGCTCATTGCTCGAGAGTGCTTTGCAACGGCCTTGCAATTAGTGTAGGAGGCGGTCGGGAGTGGAGAGTCAAGACCAGACTGTTCTTGAGCGCACCTTGTCTTCGCTTGGGGCTGAGCATCAGCCGTGTAGGTGACAGCGACACATACGAGACGCTGCCGAAGACAGCTCCCGCCAGCGAAGAGCAGCCAGCAATCCGAAACCTGCCACGCTGTGCAATTGTGTGGACAAGCTCAATGTGGAAGCTTTCACAGCCTCAACATTCCAGCCGTGACTGCATGTCAAGCCTGCCATGACACCATGAACCAATGACCTGAAACCAACACCGAAGGATACCTCAGGGCCGTCAACCTTGAGTAGCAGACAAGCTGCTCGTCATCCATCTTGATCGATTTCGTTGGTGTCATCAGTTCAAGGGGAAGCAGCGTGGTCATCAAGTCCACGACAAGCATAACCACCCTGAGCAACGGCGCTGTCAATGTGTCGAACTGAACCTGTGTACGTGCATGTGCCTTGGCCTCCATGTCCTGAACCGGCTCAAGCACACAGTATGTCTCCGAATCTTGACAGAGACATTGTCGTGGTAGGGAGCGTCAGGCTGCTGTACAAATTCTCCACTGTGGCGGGAAAGCGCGACTGCAGATTGTGGTCCCGGATAGCGCCGGGTATGCCCGAGTATGCGCGAGTATGCACGGGTATGCGCGGGTATGCGCGAGTATGCGCGGGTATGCGCGGGTATGCGCGAGTATACGCGAGTACATGCGCGGGTGTGCGCAAGTATGCGCAGAATAGGAATAGGAGTAGCAGGCGGCTTTCTGCTGCCTACCTATTTCTCTCCTACTCGCTAGGTGCTGCACTCCCCAGGAGCTCAAGAGGCTCGCTCTAAGGTGGCTCGCTCAGGCGTTGAAGTTGCGTTTGCCTCCATCAATCCTGGATGTGGATTCGTAAACTCGATGTACGTAAGGCCGTTGGAGCCCAGCCCGCATTTTGGAGACAGCCTCCCAGCAAAGTAGGTTGAGGGTTGGCTCTGGCAGCAGGCGAGGTACTGGTATTTGGAGCCATCCCAAGATGGACAGCAATTGGGTCCAGCAAGGTGTTTGCAGTAGCGGTTGCTTGAGCGCAAGCGCATGTCGAGACCTCCTTGCCAGTCTGCAGACATCTTCTCTTGGCTGGTTTGAATCATTCCCTGACCATCGTGCTCCGAACATACACCTGCCTCGCACTCAGCCTGAACCAGTGTGGAGGACATGCAAGCAAAACCAGGAAGAACCACATCGCCGTCAGCTCAGGAGGAGAGCTGCTATGTTGTTGTGCTAGAGCCGCGAACTTCGGCACCCAAACAGTGGACATATTCCTGTGACAATCTACAGCAACATGCTCGACTTCGCTCTTGCCATTCTTGTATTACGCATAGCAAGCCATTGTATGCTTCTGAATAATCGTGTCATGATTGCCGTAACTCCACAGCTACTAGCTAGCAGTTTCGAGCAGGGGCAGCAGAAGCAGTAGCAGCAGAAGCGGCAGCAGATGGCACCAGCCAGCACAACAGGTCGTCTCAAAGTTGTCGGTCTCCGCACCCTCTTGAAGTCAAAGGTCCGGCCACAGACTCCGAAATCACAGCAACATGGCCCAGAAGCGGATTCCGGTGACAGTTGACATAGTTGTGACGAACATGAAGAGACCGTGGCCAAGAAGGAGCACGAAGGCAACACTCAGCCCGTCTATGTTGACCTTTATCACGTGTATGTGGTGACCACAGAGAAACTAGTGATCACAGGACCCACACAACACACAACACAGTGCACAGTGCGGGCCACACCAGAGGTGGTTTATGGGGGTGTGGGTGGGCTTGGGCCCTAACGATTCCCTAACGATTCAATGCCCTACAGTGCCTACAGTCACCGCCACTAAACTTGAACCCCAACAGGACCTGTCTCGTTGAAACCCTGAACCCACAAAACCCCAACCCTAAAAACCCCTGCACTTCCTCTGCATCCGAGGTACAAGGAGAGGACCGAGCCCAGCTGAGATCTGACCACCGACCACTCCACTTCAAACGGATCTGGCTGGCCTGGGGACAAGCCAAGAACGTGTGGCTTTGGGTGCACTATAGGTCTGCAGCATTTAAGGCTTTAGCGTTAAGGTTCATGGTCTGGGTTCTTCAGGGGTTTAGGGAGTTAGCTTGTGTGCTTCAGGCATGCAAGTGATGCTTCATTCCGTTCCATATTGGTGGGTGTTGTCTCCGCATGTTCGTAGGCGTGTACTGTATGTATACATATATATATATAGATATAGATATATATATATATACATATATTTATGTATGTATGTATGTATGTATGTATGTATGCATGCATGCCCATGCATGCCCATGCATGCATGCATGCATGCA